TCACTTAATAATTATATATCAATGAAAAGCTTATAAAATTTCCTATCGAATCTCGTAGATCCCAAGGGGTACTCGAGTGTCCAAGTAACCCGTATTAGAGAAATTGCTAGTCAAAATTTGCAGTAGTAAACAATATATTATAGCCGTGTAATAGCTTTTATTCTCAAACTGGCGATGGTTTTTTGTACTTTTGAAAAAGTTCCGAGACGTGTTCACTTAATAATTATATATCAATGAAAAGCTTATAAAATTTCCTATCGAATCACGTAGATCTCAAGGGGTACTCGAGTGTCCAAATAACCCGTATTAGAAAAATTGCTAGTCAAAATTTGCGGTAGTAAACAAAATATATTCTCAAACTGGCGGTGGTTTTTTGTACTTTTGAAGAAGTTCCGAGACGTGTTCACTTAATAATTATATATGGATTATGTAAAAAAAAGATGGTTGGTTTTTTTTATGACATTGTTGTCGCAGTCAAGGATTGTATAATATTAATTATGATTGTCAATAGATATATTTTCTGTATTGTCAGTTATAAAAATACAGTGAGTATATAAATACACTATTTATATACTTACAACAATGTGCCTTACTACCATTGATAATAACAATGGTGTGTGCCTTCTATAATTGATGTCATAAAAAAACAATTAGCTACCTGATTTATAATTCTTGGTGTATTATTCATGTATATTAACTCAAAAATTTTAAACTGTAAATGTTTATATCTAATAAACAATAAAGTTATACTAAAAGTTTAAATGCCATTTGCTATTAAATTAAAAACTCAAACTTTTATTAAATTCAAAATATGTGTTCCCATTTAAAAAATCAAAGTTAAAACCCTTTTCAGGCAATCAGGATGAACTTAAATAGTATTACATTGTTAATAATTCATGAATAATGTGTAACTAAATATAATCAAAAAAAAAAAATGTTTAAATTATTATTATTCCGTAAGTAATTGATTGGGTTATGATAAAAAAATCACCTGTATATAATTATAACAATTTAATGTACTATACGTGAATTACAAAATCTTATATACACCAAAGTGGATAGGGGGCACACTTAATACTAATGTCACAATGGTGCTATTATAAAAAAATAATAAATTATAAATGTGAGTAAATCTTAAATAGAAGATGAACAAGCATTATACCTATCGGCTAATTGAAACGGCCGATGATAATTTTGAATATTGAAAGGATCCAATGCAAATAGCTGACCAACATGTACAATATGCTTTGAACGGTACTGTGATCTCAAAAAATATATAGACCAATGGCGATATACTGAGCGCACAAGGTGCGACAACCGCAAAGGTGATATTTTACTTCTTTTAAAATTCATGAATCGAATTTTTATCATACTTGGGTTTAATTCATATTGCGCGAAAAAAATATGCAAAGTCATAAACATCCGAGCTCTAGCTATAACTATTCAAAATATAAAAAATGTATAGAAACACTCATATTTGTTAAAATTTTTTTTATAATGCATGAAGTTCTAATTTTATCGAAAAAATTATTCATAATAATAATAATAATGTGTTTCTGTTTTTTTTATGGTGGGGTGGTTATTGTGCAAACAATGATTGGTCAAATCGAGTATTTTATATAAAATATTCAAAATTAAATGTCTTGTTAAAACCAAAATATATTTATTCATTACATTCATTTTTTTATATAAAATACTTTTAAAAAAATTATGGAAAACGTGCATAAATTTAATTTGTATTTAATTTAATTATTATAGTTAAATATTATCATAATTATAATATCCATTGGTATTTTTTCATTGTTAACAATTAATGCCTTTGAAATATAGTATATTCTTGTTTATACGTACAGAGATTATAATAACACTATAGAATTATTAAATATTAATGTATATACTTAGCGTCGTTTCATAAATTAGCAAACCCAGTTTTTGCAAAATTTATATATTTTTAATTAAAAAGGTATAAAATACTCAAAAATTCTGTATCCTGTTGGATAGCTATTTAATAATTTTAGAAATTAAATAATTAAAACAACTTGAGTCAATGTTATAAATTGTTATTTAAAAAAAAATTGTCACTTTTAAAATAAACTATTCAAGCAATTTAAATGGTACATATGAGTATCGAATCGTATGGATGGGAATAACAAGATACTTTATTATTTTGTAATATTATTTATTGTGTATAAGATATTTTGTTTAACAATAAATCAAAGTTTTAGAATGGTTAATTAGGGTAATTTTTGTTTTAAAAATACAACATATTAATAATTAATAGTATTTTTACTTTAATTTATTTTTATAATAGTTGTAATCGTATATTTTAAAACGAACTTTATTAGGCTACTCAGTAGTATATTGAATATTTTAAATATAAAATAATACTATATTTCAAGATAGAAGTGTGATATCTGTAAATTAATTTATTAAGTACAAATTATTTTAATATCAATAAAAAGTTGAGTTGACGAGTGAATGAATTATACCATTACTAAACATATAGTAAATTAATAAAAAGGAGTGCACTCATTAACCGTGTTGTACTATTTAAATATTTATGTATGTATTTGTCACAAGTCTCCGAGTCTAATTATTAGTATAATTTTTTTTTTTCAGTAGGTACAGCAATTTTAAAGAATAATAACACAACGTTTAGAAACAATTTAGAAGTCCCTATTGAATTTTATTAATATAAAAAAATTTTATCATAACTATAATCGTATGGAAGATATATAATGGCGAGGTTTAGTATTATCGCATATTTTCTCGGAAGATTCTCAATAAAACTAAATTAACAATATTGATAGTGAATTCGTAGATAAAGTTTTGCAGGTGTTCAATTTTTCAATATACTATTTTGGAATTTGACATGCAACTCTATTGAACAAGAAGTTCAGTATTTATTCGATTGTAGAATATACGTATACAACAATTATTTGAGGAAATTAAATTTTTTAATGTTGTATTGTTAAAACAAAAAGTACTCTAATTATAATCGTTTTCACACGTAGATTCAATATGTAACATCCATTTCACGGTTTCTTATTGCTTAATGTCAATTTTATTGATAAGAAACTTCTGCGAAATCGCAAGTCTCGGACAGTGACTAGCTGAAACTTGTCATGCGGGTATTATTGTAAATAAATTCTATTAATAGCCATCTGTTGCATTATCGCTTACAGGAAACGTTCAATAAATAACCGGTCTACTATTATATATTTTAATGTTTTTGATAACCATTCTCTTTGCATAGTCTCTATTAGGGTGTCCCTTGTTTTTAAAATTTTAGTTATTTTTCAGGTTCACATCCCAAATTTGTGTGTATACATATAAAAAGTTGCTACAAAAAATACCAGATCTATCAGAAAAGTTTAACCCGTACTGATTTAGGGTTGATGATCGGCCAAAAGACGTATTTTTTAGTTTTTAACAATTGACCCTTAAATTAACGCTGTTACAACAAAAATTATTGAAACCAAATTGTAGATCTAATTATTTTGTATAAATTAAGTTCTAATCGTTTTTCTTCTAAATCCATTTAGTTCGCCAAAAAAATATCAAAAAATGTAATATTTGGTAAAATGATCAAAATTGGTATATTTACCAATATTCCATCGTATCAAACGAATCATATATGCGTATCACATATCAATTCTTTGAATAGAAATAAAAAACTAAATTTTAATGAATATTTTGATTTGTTACAAAAAAATAAAATGAAAAACACCAAATTTAGTTTTGTAAAGAGATTTATTTCAAGTTTATACATGATACTCTACATGTTCCCTTTAAAAAATCAGAGAAGTGTAAATAAATAACTTGTTTTGTTTTTAATTAAAAAAAATATTAACATATTATTTTACACCAAAACATACTAAAATTATTTTTTTACAATTTTTATCATAAAATGATATAAATTATGAGTTTTGAAATTTTGTTCTAAGACCAGTTTAGGAAATTTTATAAGCTTTTATTTGGTGTATAAATATTACTGGACTCGTCTAGGAACTTTGTTAAAAGTAAAAAAACCTAACGGCAGTCGGAAAATATGTATTGATTACGACCTTATATATGTTACAGCAATTTCTGTTATACGATTTATTTGGACACTCAAGTACCCTTTGAGATCTATGCTATTCGATAGGAAATGTTATAAGCTTCTCATTGATATATAATTATTAAGTGAACACGTCTCGGAACTTTTTCAAAAGTACAAAAAACCACCGCCAGTTTGAGAATAAAAGCTATTACACGGCTATAATATATTGTTTACTACCTCCAATTTTGACTAGCAATTTCTCTAATACGGGTTACTTGGACACTCGAGTACCCCTTGGGATCTACGTGATTCGATAGGAAATTTTATAAGCTTTTCATTGATATATAATTATTAAGTGAATACGCCTCGGAACTTTTTCAAATGTACAAAAAGCCACTGCCAGTTTGAGAATACATATTTTTTACTACCGCAATTTCTCTAATACGGGTTACTTGGACACTCGAGTACCCCTTGAGATCTATGTGATTCGATAGGAAGTTTTATAAGCTTTTCATTGATATATAATTATTAAGTGAACACGTCTCGGAACTTTTTCAAAAGTACAAAAAACGGATCTCCGGTTTGAGAATAAAAGCGATTACACGGCTATATTATATTGTTTACTACCGAAAATTTTGACCAGCGTTTTCTCCTACTCGGTTTACTTGGACACTCGAGTACCATTTTTGATTAATGCCTTTGGATAGGAAATTTTATAAGCTTTTATTTGGTGTATAATTATTGCCTGTCTCGGAAGTTATTGTCAAAAGTAAAATATAACATTTTTTTAAACCAACTGGTGACCTCTAGCGGTGTATATTATAATTATATCTGATTAGAAATTGCTATAAAGGAATTGCTATCTTCACAGTCGTTGTTATTTACTATAATTTTGGCGCCAAATTAATTAAATTTGCTTATTGATATCAATTAATTTAAATACGATAACCTTTATTTATTGAAAAAAATAGAAATTTTAAGTCAATAATAATTATTCAAAATTGAAAGTTGTATTATCTCTAGTTATAACGAATTGTGGACTTGATGCTGTCTAAAAACATTATTTTATTAAATCAAAGATTATTATAACTCCTAAGTTATTTTTTACATTTATAGTACAATTTTTATCTTATACGATTCTTAATAAATAATTGGTAGTTAAAAGTATACATAGATTTTAATATGAAACCATTGACTGACAAACATGAAACGAACAATGGTATGAATCATACTTAAAAGTTATTAAATTAATTTTCATTTTATTTAATTTATTTGCAGGTGAATACTCTTTGTATTTTGATTGTAAAATCCACCCTAATAAATGTTTTATGAAATCAGAAATTAAATATATTTCGCCACCAAAATGTGAAGATGACAAAATAAATTTATCTGATACAATTACTCTATTTGGTTATTCATTTAATAGAGGACATAGTTTAGTATATGATATTCCTGTATTAATGAAAATGGCCAAGTATACAATAGATTTTTTAGTTATAACTAGTAGCTTATACAATAGAGAAATATTTATTTTATAGAAAGGAGTTATTAAGTTTGAGCACTATATTGCGTGATCAGTTTAAATCATTTCGATTTCATGACCAAAATTTAAAAAAAATTGAATTTATGGATTCTAGAAAACAAATAGTAGAATTTTTTATGTATTTACGTGATGGTTTTATAAAGTAATATATACGTGTATTAACAATGTGATATATATAAAGTATTAAATGAAGTTATTTATTAATTATTATTTAGAGCAAATCAAATTGAAAAGTATAATTGGTTAATAGTTTTATATGAAGATACAATATTACTAGAGTTAGAGAATATTTGTTCAATTCTTGGGCCTTTTTATGATATCTCAGAAAATGTTATTCAACATTCATTTTTTTCAGCAGAAAGCAAAGTATTTAATCATATATAGTTCAATTATTTCTTAATTTTTCAACTAATAAAAAAAAAAATGATTATTCTACTTTTATCCATCTAAATTAAAATTATTTTTTCAAAAAACAAAAAAATTATAGGTGTTTATGTATTTTTTGTTTTTTATAAAATATAAAAAAACTTTCTTAACTTACCTTCTTTGTTGAATTAATTTAATGTATTCTTATAAAAATATTATTGTATATTTTTATAATATTTTGTACAGTACAATTGTGTTATTTGACTGTTGGTTTTCAGTGTTGCTCCATACTCCGGGAGTTTACCATATCACTCGAATTGTCTGTCTAAGACTTTTCGCAGTGAAGCTCAGGGGCCTTGGTTTGCCATACCCATAGCGTATGTATGCCATATACTACCTTGAGGGAAAATATCAATATATTAGTTAAATAAATAACTATACAGAATTTTTTCAAAATAATTTTTTACAAAATCATAAACACCACATTTTAATATAACTTTTTTGCACCCTTGATGATTACTTGTGCTTTGAGTTAAATATTATATTATTTAATTAATAATGCCATATTTTTAATACACATGACCAATCTTTGATTTGTGGTTGGTATATGTTGACCCAAATCTTCTAATTGTTGACTAAAGGAGAACATAGGTTTAATAATTATTATTATCATTATCAAAATAATGACAGGTATATGACTTCATTTAACAATTATGAATCTACTAATCTTATTTTTATTTAATCAATAGCCAATAACTAAGATATACTAATAAGATACTCTTATTGTAGTTTGTAATATACATGGAATCTCTACAAAGTATTTATTTTTTTTAGAACAACATCTATTATCATTTATATCATTGCAGTTTGGAAATACAATGGCTTCGATTAGTTATATTAATGCAGTTTAATAAACACAAAGAAGTACTCAAAGACACAATTAGTGTTATTTTAAATGATTCTGTTCAATTAGCAAGGACCAGATTTAAAAAAGTATATATTATATTTATAATGAGTTTTTTTTATTAGTCTAAAATTTAATCTTCTGTAGCTAATTTCTTATAATGAACTAGATTAACAAATTAAAAAGTTCACCATTTGAATTCATGCTGTGCTATAGTATTATATGAATTTTGTGTAATGGTAGAAATCTTGTGTATCTTTGTCCTAACAGCAACAATAGTTATCTGCAAATTTTTGCTATTCTATATTATGATATAAAAATATTAATATTTATATAATTTTTTACTATAAACATATTTGTTATATAGAGTGTTCAGTAAGTAATAAATGGATTCCTATTCTCATTATTATAACAATTTATCTGTTTCCTTACTTACTGAACACCCTGTATAATATATTATATACTGGTAATCTTGTAAAATTAAAAATGTATAAATCCAATCAAAATTTTGAAAAGCGTCTTTTTTTTGGCACTTCTATAATATTATACTTTTAAGAGTCAATATTAATGCTGTTTGGGTAGTGAAATGCTAGTCTTGTAAAAAAAAAACCCAGAAACTGCTCAAATAATAAGAAGTTATAATTAGACATTTAATTATATAAGATGTTTCTTTAGAACTTGTTTTTGATATAAATGACTGCCTTAGTAAAAAATTATATAACTTTATAAAAAAGTGGTATATGGAGATGAAATTATTTTAGTAATAATATAGATGTATAATTTTATATATCACACTTTTTTAAAAATCCAATCATTTATCTACTCTTAAGGAGAGTAGGTTTGCATAATCATTTATCAATAACACCTAATAAAAATGTTCCAGATAATTTGGTATCCTTAAATATATATTAAATTGACAATTATATATTTTACTTAATGTTGGAAAAAATATTTTCTCCTTGGGCCTTTTACGTACAAATAGAATTAATGTTTTAAAAAATCATGATTATCGTGAAAAAAATTTATATAATTTTTGTCAAAACATATTTTTTGAGCAATAATAGCATAAGCTATTAAATAAAAATTTGCTATTTTTTTATAAATCTTTGTTTTTTAGAATTTTTTACATTATTATTTTTAGGGTTTGAGATTTTATGCATTTATAAAATTTGTTTAGCCACTTCGGAGACACCAAACTTTATGAAAATTTATCATAGGTATTTACAGCAACACAGAAACTTCTTTTGTTCTAGGAGAAATGACCCCCACACTACGTCCTAAATTATAACCTTACTTAATATAAATTTATTAGGATTAAAAAAAAAAAAGATAAGTGAATATCTATTTATAATTGATTTACTCGAAATAATTAAACTTAATGAGTCCATAAAGTAACATATCCTATGTAGTATTATAATAAATTCTATATAATTAATAAAAGCCAAACTCTACATTTTATTATTTGAAAGACTGAAAATCCAAGACTTTTTGATGGATCAGGCGCAAAAAGTTTTTAGATTGAAATTAATTTTTTGCTTATTTATTGTTCAAAATACATTTTTCAAGTAGGACGTTATGATCTAAAATGTAGACTTATGCCCTTCTCTGGAATCACCAATGTTTGAAAGTGTACAACATGTAAATTATGTAACAAAAGCAACAAAATGATTTTACATACATTTTTTTTTTTTGTAATTACCATTTATGTATGGCATATTTACCTTTTTGTTTGGATTTTAAATTTGACTTTGCTATACTGAAAAATAATTAAATAATAGATTGGTTTATTTGTTTATTATCCATCATTATATAAAAAATTAATTTTTCTCTTACACAATATAATCATGTTTTATTATTAATTTTTTCTAGTTAAAGCTAAAAGAAGTCTATTTAACTAGTGCATTATTATGTGAATGTTCATTTGATTTCTTAATTCTTATTCAACAATTAATTGAAATACAAAAATCTGTACACAATTTTGGTGTAAGTCATTTTAATTATATTTTTGTTTTGATTTTAATATAAACCTTGTTTACTAAATTGGCCAAAATTTGTTTTATAGTTTTTTATATATATAATTTGAGAGATGGTGTGGCCAAGTATGTAATACAATAGTACATTGCCACTGAGACTCAGTCATAGGCAGCTCCATTTGCTGAACGAGTCATCAGTTTAGTGATTGGAGTTGCCATCCCTCTCTCTGACAATGGACTGACCATCCTTCCCAGAGTATACATAGTTAAGAAATCCCTTGGTTAACTTACTTATATTACTCTTATCATTCTTTAAATTAATATAACAAATTTTTATTGTATTTTTTGTTTCTTGTAAAGTTTATCATTTTAAACTCACACCTTTGTGATTTTGGCCGATTAGGTATTAATATTAAATTAAATTAAGGAAAGAATAAGAAAACTACTTATGTGTTAATAGAATTTCTGGAAGTTCTTAAATGCAGCTATAATAAATGTGAATACAATAGACAATGAAGAACTAATTTTTCAACTATGGTATTTAAGCAGTCTAGTTGGAACTCATCCTTCATCATTTGTAGGTTTATATTCCATTTAATTATAAAATTATCTTTTGATATTGTGTAATTAGTTAATTATAGTTGATTCATTTTACTGATGTGTGTAGGACATAAATGAAAGCAATTTGAATGTGACTCTCAAATTGCTCCTTAACCAAGAGCCTAATGAAGCACAGTTGAAGTTATCTATTTGTTTGTTGGAAAAAGTTATACTAAACAGTTGTGTTACTGATCTAATTGTAACTTTATGGGAATATTTCCATAAAAAACTTAATTCAATGTTTTACTCTTCAGATTTGAATATTCAAAGTATTGCATGTATCAGGTAAAATCTAAATTATAATATTAATTAATCCCGTTCCAAATACAAAGTTACACACGCTAAAATGTTCTGACAATAAACATGATGTTTCTTGTTAAAAATGTCAATCCATCTTTAATTTTCTCATATCCCTTTATATATTCTTGTTCCAACCATTGTAAACTTGCTTACTTTGAATTTTCATTTTATATGACATTATTAATTATTTAAAAATTTTAAATTGCTTACTACAGTGTTTAAAACTTTATACTCTACTAATATGAAAGTTTATTTAATACCTTTTCAGATATTTACTACAATATGATTTTCTTATTTATTAAGTATTTTCTATTAAATGCTGGTGTATATTAAATAATTCTTCTGGTTTTCCTAATTCCTGTAACTCTGTTTCTGGGCAATTCATCATTAGTGAGGCTAAAAATTATTCTGATTATTTATAAATTTTATTAAGTTATTCTGAACACACAATTAGATAGTACAAATTTTTATTTATTGATTTGAAAATTTAATTTTATGTTGTTACTTAAGGTTTAATAAAAAAAAATATAAAAAATAAAAATAAAATGTGTTACTTAAGGCTTTATTTTTTAATAGATTTAATCCTCTTAAAACAAAAAATATTTCATTGCTTCTTTACATACTCTTATGACAAAGTTGTACAAGTTTGAAACTCTTCAAACTGATTCAAACAAAACTTATAATATGTATAATTTAATTATTTAAATATTAAATAATCATATGTACTAATTTCTAGCTTTAGTCATTAGTGTACCTTTTTCTTTTTTTGCTATTTCTTTGAAGCTATATTTCATATGCATGGCTTGTAAATTACACAAACATTATACATTTCATAAAAACAAGATATTTTCTTTCAATGATAAAAGCAATGGAAACTTCTTTCCTTAATTTTTAAACACCTTATATAATTAAATTCCGTGCATTTTAGTTAAACTTATTTTATAAAGATCAGGCTTACGGCAGTTTTATATATTTTTATAAATTATTGAATTATAGAAAAACTAACATTTCATTATTATATTTTCTAGTAAAAATGGGTCCGAACTTCTTGTTCAAATGTCAAATCTCTTTGAAACACAGTCTTCTCAAATTTATTCAAGTTTTAATAGTTATCAATTATTTCAAAGATTATTAGGTATGTTAATTTTTAATATTTTTTTTATTAGAATATATATACACACACACCTTATATAGGGTATATATATATATTTAGTAACTAAATAAACAGGTTGGGTTGGAAACAGTTTTCTATTACTCTCATTGTTTGTAACAATTGACCTATTTCCTTACTTACCGAACACTCTGTATATATACAGTCCTTACAATTTGTGGGGCATGGGGCATAATATTTAAATATATTTATTGATTTATTTATAAATATAAAACTTATACCATTTTTACATGTTTTTTTAGTTGTTACAAAATCATAGAGACATAATTGAATACATTATATAGATTATAACAGTTTGTCATACTTTTATGTTATAATTCACTCTTTAAAAATACTATTTCAAATTTATACAACAATAAAAATATTATAAGACTTGAATATTTTTTGATTACATATAGAATATTTTTATTAATCAATATTGTATAATGACATAACTTTATTTTTGCTCACAATTCTAATAATTTTTACTTTAATTTTATTGTAATTACCTTATTTATTATCAGTAGTACTAACAGATTATGCATTTTAAATATACACTAGTATAAACTACTCACTCTGCTGTATACCCACTATAGTTATTAAAATGATTGTAAATTAAAAAGTACTTATCCTAGTAATGATCAAACCATCAAAATTTTTTGTAAAAATATTTTTTGTAAACACCATTATTTATGGTAGCGTAACTGAGTTTTTTTTTTTTTTTAATTTTTGGCGTTTAAAGGTTCAATTAGTTTAAAAATTGGTTCTTTTGACATAATGATTATTAAAATTGTTCTAGTATGAACTATGAATAAATGAAATAGCACCAATAAAATATTTTTTTTACATTATTATCAAACAATTCTGAAACATAAATTTAAACATTTGAAAATTCTATTTCTGACATTCAGTTGAGTTTTTACATTTTATTGTTTGTAATAAAAGTGTTATTACTACATGATTTTATAAGTTTTGTATTATATTTCATTTCACTAAACCAAACCTAAATAATTCATTTTGTTTCACATTATATAGATGTTTTTGAATGAAATTCCCATAAACTTGAATTTAATCTAACACTAAATTTTGAAAAGTTATTAATACTTTACATATTATAAATATTCTAACTTACACGCAATATTGAAGTCATAATATGGTGTTTCATGGATATAGTAAAAGGTAGTTTCTTAAATATCATTTGTAGCATTCTATAGATGACTTTTAAAATACTTATGTTATGGAATTTTGCGCATTTTGTATCGGTTTTGCTTGTTTTTTTTTTTTTGCCCATAAATATTCTTAGCTCATACTGGACCAATTTTAATAATCATTATGTCAAAAGAACCAATTTTTAAACTAATTGAACCTTTAAACGCCAAAAATTAAAAAAAAAAAAAACTCAGTTACGCTACTGTAAATAATGGTGTTTACAAAAAATTTTGATGGATTGATCATTACTAGGATAAGTACTTTTTAATTTACAATCTTTTTAATAACTATAGTGGGTATACAGCAGAGTGAGTAGTTTGTACTAGTGTACATTTAAAATGCATAATCTGTTTGTACTTCTGATAATAAATAAGGTAATTACAATAAAATTAAAGTAAAAATTACTAGAATTGTGAGCAAAAATAAAGTTATGTCATTATACAATATTGATTTATAAAAATATTCTATATGTAATCAAAAAATATTCAAGTCTTATAATATTTTTATTATTGTATAAACTCATAAACAAATACACAACTTTTTTTGTTCTAGGAGAAATGACCCCCACACTACGCCCTAAATTATAAACTTACTTAATATAAATTTATTAGGATTAAAAAAAAAAAAAGATAAGTGAATATCTATTTATAATTGATTTACTCGAAATAATTAAACTTAATGAGTCCATAAAGTCACATATCCTATGTAGTATTATAATAAATTCTATATAATTAATAAAAGCCAAACTCTACATTTTATTATTTGAAAGACTGAAAATCCAGGACTTTTTGATGGATCAGGTGCAAAAAGTTTTTAGATTGAAATTAATTTTTTGCTTATTTATTGTTCAAAATACATTTTTCAAGTAGGACGTTATGATTTAAAATGTAGACTTATGCCCTTCTCTGGAATCACCAATGTTTGAAAGTGTACAACATGTAAATTATATAAACAAATAATAAACAAATACACATTCTACACCCACAGTTAGTTTTCTGTTTTTAATTCCAATTATCATATTTTCAAACATGACTTAATTAAGGTACAGACATGCTGGTTTTATTTAACAAACAAATTTACTTACAAGTATACTAGCTAACAAGTATATCTACATTTATATTGTGATAGAAAAGTCATTATCTATAAATTTTGAAGTATATTTATAATTTAGAAATGAAAAAATATTATGTTCTCATTTCAGGTCTTCATTTAAGAAATATTAAACATAACTCTAAAGATTGGAATCAAATTAAAGGAAGAATTTTTTCAAAGTTTTCACTTAGTAAATTATTATCATTCAATGATATTGGTTTTTACAACTTTACTACCTTGTTTTTAACATTAGCAACCATGTCAAGTGATACATCTAATATTGTATACAACTATAATTTTTATTCTCTTTGTGACACGTGCAACAAAAAAGTTTATTCTTAAATTTTGTATACATTTTTATTGAAATAATTATAGTTTTAACTTTCTGATCAGCTCTCTATTATTTATATTATTACAATATTTGGATTAAAATACTGTATACATATAGTAGTCTCAATTATTTATTCACCACAGCACGTTTAGTTTTCATTTTGTTAAATTACTAAATTTGACAAAAATTAGTCATAAAATTAAAGTTAATCAAATTTATTTAATAGTAATTTCTTTCATCAAAGATGTTGTGGAAGTGTAAAGATATCTGAGTGTTTTATAACAGATCATTTACTTTTATTTATTAAGTTAATATCTGTAAAATTAGCTATAAACTTTTAGTCCTTTTCTTAAAAAATGGCGAGTTAGGTTATTTTAAATATTGTTTAGACTGTTTGACATGAATATAACAGTACATAATATATTTTGTATTCATGAAAACATATTCTTATAAGCAAAAATATTAACATAACTCAAAAAAACAAATGTTACTGAAAAGGCAAGATAAAATTGATGATGTCATTTAATGATAGATACATTTTTGGAAGACTCCCAAGAAAGTTATTTTACCTAAATTAATAAAAAAAAAAGTCTAGTTTAAAATTTGATTTATTTTTTTATTTTTTTTTTTTGGATATTTAAAAAATTTTAAATTGTGTTACTAATCTTTCCCATTTGTGTTGCACATGTCTATATTTTTCTGAATTTGTAGTTTTTAAATTTGTATTATTTGATTTTTAGGCACTTAAGTATCAGCATTTAATTAATTTAATGTCTGAACAAAAATTACCATCTAATATTAGATCAATTTATTGGAAAGGAACTATAGCTTTTTTAATATTACATTCAAAACTTGGCATTATGATTACTCCATATGGTTCAGTATTATCAGAAGTTTTAAATTTTACATCCAGAGAATACTTAAATATTTTTATAAGTGGAATTAAAGAAGTCTTAATTTATAATGATTCATTTAATCTTGGGCATCATTCAATTTTTGGTAAGAATAAATTATTATGAATATATCTTAAATAAAACTAAGTATATCTTCAGTTCTGTGTTCATATTTCTAATTCATTTTGTAGATTACCTTCAGAGTAATAGTTACTGTTCTATGTATATAACTATACTGATTAAAATCTGAGCTGGAATTATAAATATTTAAAAATGCATAAAAGTTAAACTCATTTATAAAATCAGATTGAAATCTTTAAAAAATGTATAATAATCAAATCATTTCTAGGTCCGTGGCTTGGACAATATTTGAATACAATAGAACCATTGGAGGAAAATGAAATGTTACAATCTTCTTTGGTAATTCTAAATAAACTAAAAGAAACTACCAATAATTTAATGCCTTTACCTTTAGGTAATATTATTTTCTATTTCATTTATTTTTTCATTTTTTTTTAACAATGTTTATTTTGTATTATTGCTTATGTTTTTTATTACTAAAATTTGTAAATTATTATTTATTTTTTTTAGATAATGAAATTTTCTTATTATATCATGTTTTGAACAGTCAAATGTTACCATTTTTGAAAAAATCTTGTTCAATAGCTGATTGTGATATAGTAATTGCTGATATAGGAGCAGCATTTACGGTTTTATCAGTTTTTCCAGCATTTTCAAATACAAAGGTTCTTCTGTTTAACTTTTTTGTCGTTAATCAAGGAATAAGTATTAAGTAATAATTATTGTAGTTTAAATTATTTGTTATTTATGTGTGACTTATAAAATATGTATTTAAAAAAAAGTAAATAATCCGGTAAAATTCTAGGGTATATTAATTAATTTATATATATTAATATTCAGCAACATCTCTGACTAATAATGCAAAACATATTGTCCCATGCTCTTACAAAATATCTGATGACGTTTTTACAGATATGTGAAATTTGTTTTACATGTATATAATTCCCACTTTCAATTTTTTAATCAAAAATGGTTGTAAACCTATTACTTTATATAACCATTTAAAACAAATTCACAGGGCATGTGATCACAGCATCTGGTTGGCCATCTCGAACACCACATTAAGAATCTGTTAGAATTTTAGCATGATCATTTCATACAAAATTCTGTTCCGTCTTGCTAAAACCTATGCGGCTTTTTGTCTGAATTTTCAATTGTTCCTGTGGTGGTAATTTTCTTACTCACCATACTCACATAAATTTTATATTTTTTTTTTTTTACCATTTTAATGCATTTAGAAATTGTAAATTACTATATAAACATTAATTAAATGTTGAAATAAAAATAAAAATAGCAACTTTTAAATAAATCAAAGAGGTATTTAATACTAAATATGACAAAAACAATTGTGTCCTTAATAGTTGTTTTAAATACAAATAGAAATTAAAATTACTAATAAACATTGAATTTCCAGGTTACTAAATAGGTACTTATCAATAATTATAAAAGAAGAGGTTATTACTAAGGTTTATGGTTACAATAGTCTGTCTTTAATCAAGGTAATACTTGCCATTTTTTTTCTGTAAAAACTCTTATATTAGTTTATTGTAAATGAACTTCATTTAGGATAGTGGTCTAAAGTTTACAAGAGAAATAAAACATTTTTATTTATTCTACATATATTTATAGTCATTGACATTGTTTAAATAGAGACTAAAGACAAGTGTAATAAAATTATGAATAATAGTCTATAGTTATTAATAACTATAGACAAAATATTTGAAAAGTTCAGAACAATATCCAACTATCTCCATATTAAATTGTGTAGGAGACAAAAAACTAAAATAGTTAAGTTCTAAACTACTAAAATAAATATGCATATACTAGACAGATATGCTCAGTGAATTCATCTAATGGTTGAAATATAATTCTTTATAAGAAAATATTAAAAAGTGTAGGTAGCTAGTTAACGCACTAAACCCTTTATTTAAATTCCCTAAAAATAAAAAAAAAGAGTTTGTTTTACATAATACTAAGTAAAATTACTTACAAGGGGAGGTCACGGTGATGGGGTCACCGATTTTCATAAAATTTATATAGATCTAATCTATATTGAATACAGAATCAGACGTACTTGGAATTTTTTGCCAATGCCCCCCCTAAGTCGAGAAAATTGACTTTGAAAATTTTTAATTAGCTTAAATGGGTTCATTTTTCTCCCGGTTAACAATTTGTGTCATGGTCCAGTCGACAGTACGTGATCCTATAACACGTACAGGCTCGGGAACGAATCTCTAACCGACTGATGAAATTTTTTGCTTTTTTTTTCACTGTTTTCTCTTCACCCGTTTTCTTGGCCTTTTACAAAGTTATTACTTATTTTATTATTTTGTAATTGTATTTATTGTTTTTTAGGCATGGCTACATAGTTCTATGCTTATAACAAATTGGACTTTTAATGAAACAATAACTATTACTAAGTTTATATCAAACATAAAGGAAATTCAAGAACTATATGACAATACTAATATTAATTTATACACAAGTGTTGATCCTTTTATAAGTTTTTTAGATCAATTACATTTTAAGTATCATCAAATTCAGGTATATTGATTTAGTACATTGTTTATACGTTTAATTAAAACATTAAATTACTGGCAGGCCATATTAAATTTTAATAGTATAAATATATGATTTAAACAACCAGCACAGGGGGGTCGCGGCACAGTGGTGCCGTGATATAGTTGGATCAAGTATAATGATATCTGACAGTGATTAAAATCACTATCAAAATAAAACGCTTCGATGCAAATCTTTAGATAGTGTTTAATTTAAAAAAAATTGGTGTATTATTCAAAAAGCTACATGATCTGCTAGTTCCTTATTAATATCCTGATTAAGATAAAGTATGTCAAATAAAAAAGGGATTATTAAAAAATATTATTTCTCATAAAAATATTGTGTTGATCCATACACTTTTCAATAAGTTATAGCATTATAAAGTTAAAAATATAAAAAAAAAAAATCGATATTTTTCACACAAAAATAGCATTTGGTAGCCATTTTCACCATGAAGACAAGTCCAGAAGTCAAATTTTTTTTTTTCAAATTAAAGTATAATACATTAGCTTTAATTTCAGATATACATAAAAGTGTCAAACCTTCCGGAACACTTTCAAAAGTTAAGTTGAAAAAGTTAATTTTTTGTGAAAAAGTTGTCATTTTAAATCCCCCCCCTGTGGTCAGATAAAGGGTCAAATTTACAAAAAATATGTACCAAATGATAGGTAAAGACATCAAGCATCTATAAAAAATTATAGATATTATATTGATATGTTAATTTTTGAAAAAGTTACGGCAGTTTTTAGTAAAAAAAATTGAAAACATTTCGAAAATTAGCGATTTTTAAATTTGTAATTTTTTTGGAGGTTTCCCCCATTTACGGGGAACGAGGGAAATTTTTTCAATTTTTGAGGGTAATGTCTTCGACTAGATACGATTTGTGATCTTTTGACGTATCGTTGAAAGAAATCCGTTCGGTGAGAGCTGAGAAAAAGTGTGGCAAGACAAAAAAAAAAACATATAGTAAAACCAATACCTTCTCAGCTTCGCATCAAAGCTAAAAATATTAAATTGTTTATAAAGCACTATTAACTTGAGACAAATAAATGAGCTCATTGCTCAAAATTTTTATTTCCATTTCTGTATGATAACCAAAGTTCTCAATCGTATCTATGTTTTTAAAATTACCACATTTCATTTTTATAAATTATTTAATAAGTAAACAAGAATAGTATATCCAGTGACCTAAGACTAATAAACTTCTTCCACCTCAATAATTTTATTTTATTTTTTTTGTAACACTTTTATTCAGATAAAATCAATTTGTAATTGTTAATCACTATCGTATATTTGTTAATACTGGTATTCATTATGTTGGGTATCAAATTAATTTAAAAGCATAGGTAATGACATAGGTGTGTTTTTTTAATAAAAAATATTATCTTATGATTTTTTTATTTTGTTCAAAAGTTCCATTCTTGTTTAATATCAATTTGAAAAATAAATAAAAAATTTATTTTATTTGTTCTTTGGTTTTTTTACTTTTTTAATAAGTACTATTTGTTATGTTTTTTTAATTATTCAAAAGTACACTTAAAGAACGGTGTACAAAAGTAATTTTGAAAAATTCATATATTTTTTACTTTGCTACATAACTTTGAAGTAAAAATAAGAGTGTGTTGCCAATATTATATGAGTGGGGCAGTGTACACTATAAAGAGTATTTTTATAGTATCAAATACATAATTTCCAATTGTTTATGTTTGAACATTTCATGAAAAATTTAGGTGGCTTAAAAATGTAATTTATTTGGTTTATTCTTGCTTCCCTAGTATTAAAAATAATTTTGATGAGTTTAAAAATATGATGAAATACTAAAAAATAGATTTATTAAAATATTAAAAAGACTACTACTGATTGGGTTCTATAAAACCTACTATCTATAAGACTACTACTACTAATTCAAAATTCCCGCCTTAGTTTGATAAGAGTCTAAAAAATATCTTGTTTTTAAAGAAAAAGGCACATATTAAATTCAACACATCCTCGAATGCTCACGACTATAGGGAATTTTCATTGCTTCGAGCTCGATTTAAATACGAATCTAAAAAATGTTTCCATAGATATGTCGTACGTGTAGAATCATCCTTAAATAGTAACCCTGCTGAGTACTGAAAGTTCGTTAAAAACAAAAGGTCTTTTAATTCGATTCTTAAGGAGGTTTCCTATAGGAAAACTACCTCTATTAGCAAACAAGAAGCAGCCAATTTGTTTTCTCTGTACTTCTCTTTTGTTTTCTTTGATAATCAACTTAATTTTGATACTTCCTCGTTAGGTATCAAGTCCTTTGATTTACCTAATAATGTTAACTTTACTGTTGAAAATGTTTATAAACACTTATTTGACTTGCATGGTAACTGGTCCATTGTACTTGATGGTTTATCCGGTAAGTACTTATATCAATTAAAAAATATTATAGCTTTCCTCCTCTGGACTCTTTTTAAGCATTCACTTGAAGTAGGAATCTTTCCTTCTATTTTAAAATTCAGCTCAGTTACCCCTGTACACAAGTCCGGTGAACTGTCCAATGTTTCCAACTCTCATCCGATTTCAATCCAGTCACACATTTCCAAAATTTTGAATTGTATCCAACCTTCGATCAATAAAATTCTTAAGGAGGAACAGCATGGCTTTTGCCCTGGTCGTTCCACCATTACCTGTAATTTAATCTTTAACAACTATTTATACCAATATTTTAATTTGAAAACACAAGTAGATACTATTTACACGGATTTCAACAAGGCATTTGATTCAGTTAATCACAATGCCCTAATCCAGGTCCTTAACATATCCGGAATTGGTGAACTTCTCCTGTCCTAGTTTTCATCTTACCTCTCTTGCCGTTACAAATGGGTCAAATTGCTTGGAGTAAAATCTAATGTCTATCTTGCTACATCCGGTGTTCCTCAAGGAGGTCACTTATCTCCGCTTCTGTTATCTTTATTCATTAACAGTGTATCAAGTGTACTTTCCAATAGCCAGATTTTATGTTTTGCAGATGATATTAAGCTCTACTCTTGTTTATCCTCCTTGGTTGATTGTATTTTATTACAAAGTGATTTTGAATGGTTCACGGAGTGGTTTAATTTACTAGGGCTATCCCTTAATGCATCTAAATGTAAGAATTTTGTCAGGATTCAGTCTCCTGTCAAATATGTCTATCATCTCGGATCTACTGAGATTCTATGTTCTAATGACTTTGTATCTGATCTAGGATTTATTCTTAGTAGTGATCTTAATCCTAGACCCCACATTAATCATATTTGTTGTAAGGCCTTTATAACTCTGGGGTTTGTGTTGAGATTATGTAGGGATTTTCGGTTAGGTCTATCATACAAAGTGCTTAATTGTGCACTAGTTCGCCCAATTGATGAGTATGGTGCTGTAATTTGGTATCCGCATGACCTCAATGACTCTCTTAGACTTGAATTCAGCGTAAATTTATAAGATATGCTAGTTTTAGATTGAATATCCCTTGTGAACCCCACAACTATGAACCAGTTGCTTCTCAACTAGGGCTAGTTTCGCTGGCTGAGCGTAGACGGATCTTGGGTATTAAGTTCCTAAATAGTTTATTACAAGGTAATATTGACTCTCCCTATTTGCTTTCTTAATCTGTTTTAGAGTTCCTCAACGTCATTTTTATGTTCCTTTCGCCCCCACTAAGTACCTTAAAAATGAGCCTATTACACGTATGATGTTAAATGCCAACATTGACTCTTCATTTCTTTTTTGTCTATAATTAACTGAATAGTTGTTAATTTATTATTTATCATATTTGTACAATTAATGTATAACTTATATGTATAATGTGTATATATGTTCAAAGGGTTTATCCCAAATATTTAATAAAATTAAAAACTAATCACCTCTAGTTTTTAGAAATGCAATTATTAGGGTGTTTTTAATTTGAAAGTAATCATTAATAATTATAATTTTTATAGGACCCAAAATTAAGGCAAAAATTATGTGAAAAAGTTGCTGATTATTTTTTTAGTATTAATATATGGGTGAATAATTTAGTGAAACAACAAAACCAAAATGATGAAATTTATAGATTGTATATGATTATTGGCTATTTGCTTGAAAAGATATCACCTATGATTTATGTTAAAGTATGGAGACAATTTAAAAATTAAGTCTTTTTGTACACAAATTATTGAATATCAATATTAAATTACTATTTACGGGACTATTCAAATGATTTCTTCTTATTACAAGTTAATATAGTTTAATAATTAAACTAAACAATCCCACAACTTAATTTAACTATCCATATGTTTACTAGAAAGATATTTTTTTAAACATTTTTCCATTATCATTTAATGGTTTTGGTGATTGAGTATAATAATTAATACACTACAATCAGTCTATGACATCATGATCCTCCAAAAACTGCTTTTGTCCTATATCTTAGTCAGTTGTAATTTTTCAGATCGATTTTCTAAAAACTTATAGAACTGAATTGCTTAAAGAAATTGGGGTTTTAGCTCTTTATGTTTTTTAAAAAATACTTTAAAGAGTTATAACTCTCTTACACTAACTAAAACTAAACACTATGTTTAGGATCTCAATGTCTTATAATTAACTTGTAATGGTTAGAGACTTTTGAATCACTCTGTATTGTACATCATATAATATTGTATTATATGAGTTATATTGACAAGGTTTCTTAATATATTTAGAGTAAACCAAATACTATTTTACAAGATCTTTTGGAAATAATGTTACTGGGAGTGAGTGTTAGAACTCCTAATTCCAAGACTCATCCAAGTGTTATCACTGCTCTTCAAACAAATTTTCACCGTTATCTTATTGGATTATTCAAACTGAGTAATTAAAAATTTTTCATTACTTATTAATAATAGTTATTGCATGGGTAAACTAAAAATAAAAGTATTGCCTTCTGAGACAACAGACAAAAATAGAAATAAAAAACACGGTTTTTCCTTTTTTAAAATGTGTTAATAAAAAAATTATAGTATTATTACACATATGCATTATTAATCATGTACATAAAAGTTTTAAAAAATTTACAAAAACATAAATGACAAAAAAAGTGTTTCAGCTATCTCATAATTTGCACTAAACTCGCTGTTAATACTAGATGATACCACTCTTCACCTCCAAAGCATGGAAGTGTTACCATCTAGACATTAGCAGTACCCACACATATATAAATATATATATTACAGTTGTCTTTAATGTGTTGGATATGGATAGTCATCTATTTACTGTATAGAGTAAAAAAGAATTACCCAATTTTTTTTCACATTTTTATGTGGTCCCTTATTCTAGTTGTGATATTTAACTGTTATAAAAGTATTATACCAAGAAGTCAAATTTTATTGTTAAACAATCTTAAGTATCTTTTCCCAACAGTCTAATGTACATTCAGTTCAATTGGGTTGAGTATAAAATTTTATTTAAAAATATAGTTTCAAGAAGTGTGATTTAGACTATGTTAAGCAATATTATTGTCTTCAATTAAATTTACACTGTATATTTTATTTTCTTGATAAAGTAAGATTGTGAGCTTGTATAGTTAATATATCAAGTCATCTATGGGATAGAACAGAGTTAGTTACTAATTTTTTAAAATTAACTTAACTTTAACTTATTGAAAAAAATTATTAGCTTGCTGAACCTTACATAAAATTTTGATACGTGTTTGCTATGGAAGTAACAAAATAAAGACACAATTTTTTATTTTTCCATAAAAATTACAATACTAAACTATTGAATATCAATTTCATAATAAATTTAATTATTAATAATAAGTATTTATTCATATGTTATAATTATTATAAAACGTGTAATAAGGGTATAATTAAGGAAATAGAAGTAGATGTAAATAGATTGGACTTGAGGAGCTACTAGGAACAACTAGAATGGAAATTTTGAGGGTAATAATTATATTTTCCCTCGCTCTAAAATATACTTTTATATAGAAATATACATTATTTTCTTCATTTTTTTATTAATTTAGGTACTAAATCCTCTGTACTTTTTTTCAGAAATATTTTTTAGAAATGTGGGAAATTAAATTAGACCCCCAAATATTATTTCAATTTGTATCCCATCCTTTCCCCATTATATAATTCTATATATGCTCTTGAATGAAGTCTCATTAAAAAGGTATTGTTTTAAGTAATTTAATTCAAATCAATTTCATATTGAATATAAAAATGAAAAATAGTAACTTATTGTCATTAAATTACTTTTTTGTCAGTAATTTAACTATATTACTAATTCAATTAAGTAGTTTAACTTCTAACTTATTAAGTAATATTCAATTTTATTTTAAAAAAGTACCTTACTCATATTCAAAAATTCATATTTTATTCTCTTTTACTATATTACATATTATTATATGTAATAAATATTATTAATATCTTTATTTTATCCCAAAATTAATAGGACCTTAAATTATTAAATATATTATATATGATACACTATTGAATAAAAATAAATAAATGGAATTATTAAAAAAAAAAATTTTATATATATTTATTCTTTAAGATCCAAAAACTGATCAATATATTGCCAGATGCCTTCGTGAATTGGTTTCAATTTATCTACCTAAAATTTTAGCTGGAATAAAAATGTCTGATGAATTACCTTTAATTAAATTATTTGAAGATAAACCAGACTCTGAAATAATTGAACGTGGTATGCTGTTAGAACTGATTGTAACTGTCTTTTTGAATAAACGAAGTCGTACCCCAGACAGTAATGTATCTCAAGTAAGTTAATAAATCATTATATTCAGCTTATATCAATCTAATAATTATTTTATATCTTATTTGATATTTAGGTGTTAGAGTATATTAATAAACTCATAATTGTATGCTGTGATAACAACCTTGTTATTGTATCAATTACTCATTATACATTCACTCGTATTTGTTCTGTTATGATGTTCTGTGAGGATAGTAACATTTGTAAAAGAATTTCTAATAACATACTAAGTAATTTAATTAACATGAGTATATCAGATGCAAGTAATAAAATCAAGTATGATAATTTTATATAATAATATTAATGAAACTCAAGTTGTTTCTTTCAGGAATTTAAAATTAGTTGGAACTATAATTTTAAACCAATTTAATTTGTTATGAAAATTATGAAACATCGAGTTTTTGCAATAATTTACAAGATAAAATAGTTTTAAAAAAGGTCTTTTAATTCTAATCTGAATTTTTAATTTGTTACTGAAAAAAAGCCAAAATAAAAATCTTCTAAACATAGTTTTTTTTAAATATTGAATAATATTAAAAAAAATTACATTTCATTGTTAATATCAATTTATTAGTTTTTTTATAAAAAAAAAGTCAATTAAATATTGTATTGTTAATTATTAAAAATGTTAGAAGGTTCCATAATGAAAAAAATAACTCATCACAGGGGGATCGCAGCACAGAAGTGACATGGCATAGTTGGATAAAGTATAATATCTGACAGTGATTAAAATCACTATCAAAATAAAACCCTTCGATGCAAATCTTTAGATATTGTTTAATTTTAAAAAATTGGTGAATTATTCCAAAAGCTACATGATCTGCTATTTCTTTATTAATATCCTAATTAAGATAAAATATGTTGAATGAAAAAAACTTTTCAATAAGTTATAGCATTATAAAGTTAAAAATGTAAAAAATAAAATCGAGAATTTTCACTCCAAAATAGAATTTGATAGCCATTTTCACCGTGAAAACAAAATAAAGTCCGACATTTTTTTTTCCATAATAAAGTACATTACATTAGCTTTAATTTAAGATATACATAAAAGTGTCAGACCTTCCGGAACACTTTCAAAAGTTAATTTTTTGTGAAAAAGTTGTCATTTTAAATCCCCCCCTGTGGGCAGATAAAGGGTTAGATTTATAAAAAATATATACTAAATGATAGGTAAAGACATCAAGCATCTATGAAAAAAAAATGATATTGATTCGGTTATTTTTAAAAAAGTTATGGCAATTTTAAGTAAAAAAAATTAAAAATTTGTAATTTTTTTTGGAGGTTTCCCCCATTTTTCAATTTTTGAGGGTATTGTCTTCAACTAGATACAATTTGTGATCTTTTGACGTATCGTTGAAAGACATCCATTCGGTGAGAGCTGAGAAAAAGTGTGGCAAGACAAAAAAAAAAAAACATAGTAAAACCAATACCTTCTCAGCTTCGCATTAAAGCTAAAAGTGAAACATTAAGTCTTTCTTTATAAATACATAAATTACAATGGTATTTTGTGATTTGAATATTTTTTTAAAAAAGTTATAAATCTATTTTGACTTAATATATATAATTTTTTTTAAATATTGTTTTATTATGTACTGAAAGACCTCATATGTTAAATTAAAAAAAAAAAAAAATTAAATTACCCTATAAAAAGTAAATTTCTTATTTTTCAACATAAAACTCAATCCAATTATGGGACTCGCACATCTTCAAATTTATAAAATTTTGTTTTCTATATAATTTTCATATTTTTCTATGTCCTATAAAAAACCCCTCTTTTAGCCCAAATATTTTCTTCTTTATACTTTATACGGTGTCCCACAATGTTCTAACTAATCAACATAGTTATCATATGATAAATTGTCAGAACATCTATATCATATGACACCTTATATATCAACTAAACTCCAAAAACTATTATACAGCTTTCTTCAAATGGTTATTTTTACTTCAAATTCTGAAAATGAATATAAATTCAGTATCTATCTACCAGTCTACTTTATTATAATTCTGATCCCTTCACCTTCTTTGTCAAAACAATTAAAAAATATAAATAATCTATAATTTAATTGGTTATTAAAAATAAAATCTCAATATAAACTAATAATCAATTAACATGAAGTACATTTAAATCTATTTTCAATCTTATCCCTTTTCTAATATTTGTAATATTGGATACATTTTTCATTTTTTTTTTTACAAAAAAATTATTGTTGACATATATAGAACATTTTCTAATGTATATTGTATTCAATTTTGTATATTGTCAATTTAAAAATTAGAGAAATGTAATTTAAAAAAAAATATGAATAGATAGAAAAAACATTTTATTTAAAACTAGTTTCATTAAAAAATACAAAATCATTGAAAATAAAAAAAATTAATTTGATTTTGATTATGTGGGGATGTTGTTTTGAACCCATTTATAAAATATTAGGGGGACAAAAAAAATGTTATGTGGTTCTTGATACATAATATTAGATGAACTTCTAAATGTATAGTATTAATTTAAAATATATGCAAGTCAAACATAAAATAATAAATATATATATATAACTTTAAAGGGATGAAATTCTATTTTCATTGGATGCACTTTGTCAAGAACACCTCGCGTTTTCATCTAAACTAGTGTTCGATTTCTTCGATGAGATAATAGATATATCTTCAAATATTGTTACCTGTTTTCTTCCAAAACTAATTCATAATATTGAAAAGGTAGAATGGAAAAGAGGCATTGGAACAGACTTTACTCTAAGGTATCATATACTAACTACTTTTCAGTATTTAGTAGTATTTTTTCAAAATTCTATCATCATAAAAACAAAATTTTACTCAATCATTACTTAATACAAACCATTTAAATAATTTATAATTTTGTGATATTTCATTTTAACAAAAAATTTTTTCTTTACAGAAAAGGTCTTGAAAGGATTCAAACAAAATTAGCTAACATGTAAAATTTAAATATATTAATATATTATGTGTTTATTATTTTTTAATCAGACAATATTAATAAATATATGTATTACAACATTCATTTGAATATTTTTCCCTGATTGAAAGGTCTACCATCATTATCTTTGGCGGTCCAGGCAAAGTACTCACTTACAAGTTTCTTTGTTTCTTCAATATTAGCATCCAGTTTTTTCCATGTATAAACATCATAGTCAACTTTCCAGTCATTACTTAACTACAAACATTGTCCAAACTAAAACTAACAATTTTTTGAACTGCAAATATGCACATACCTCAAAAGCAAGATCATGACCTTTCCAAACCCAGACTCCAGAAATAGTACTATTTCCTTCAGTGCCAAAAAGACAAACTGATGCAAATGCGTTTTTTCTCATTTTGTCTAATCTTTGAAACATGCCTTAAAATAAAAATGAACCAAGTTAATATTAATTACTTCATTGATTTTATTTATATTTTGAATCAAATTTTATTAAGATAGCACTACTGCTCGATATTGATCATAAAATTATATAGACAATTGAATTAAAATCAAATGTAGACTATGACTTTGGATCTATAACCCATGATCTACTTTGTCTTATTAACATAATAGGAACACCATAGTTTGTTCAAATAAACTTCAATTACCAAGTCAAAAATAATAATTATGTATTAGTGATAGGCAACAATATGATTACAAAATATATCAAATACCTGAAATGAGATTACAACTCATGAAAACTTTCTGCAATTCATTGTTGTATTTGTATTCACCAAACCATATAGAATAATTTTCTTTGTCAAAGTGATCCCAAAAATAAGCAATTGATTTTGATTCTTCTTCGTTACTGTATACTCTTTTAAATTCATCCATATTAAATGATCTGATAAATTCATGAAAAATAATAAATGTGAAGAACATAGATACTTTTAAAAAAATTAAATGCATACCCTTTGGGTAGGGAATCAAAAGGATCTTTAGATTTAGGTTCAGCTGCCAAAATAAGATCAGCAGCATCAGGTTCTTCAGCTGGAGTTGTTTCTTCTTTTGGAGCAGCTTTTTTGACTTCTTGAGCTTTTTTGGGAACCTTTTCTTTTTTTTGCTGTTTCTTATCTCCAGATACACTTTGGAGTTCAGAATAGATCTTTTGATTAAATTCTGCACTTTTAAGACAATATTCAAACTTCCCAATAACTTTAACTACTTTAGGTTGATTAACAATAGTATCAAACCATCTATTTACATTAATGTATGATTTCCTAGAATACCAAAAGTAAATAAATGTATTAATAATTTTTCGTTTGGTTTCTTTGAGGTACACGTTTTCCTCAATTTATTAATCATAAAGAATTTTTTATGTTTATCCCCTACAAGATTGTCAACATTATTTTTTCTATAGAAAGATACATAAATAAATAACTTATTGATATGATCGATAAAAAAAAGATTAGTCGATAATAACTTTTGAATCACTATTTTAGAAATTATCAACATTTTAAAATATAGAATAGAGATGAGACATAGGTAGGACTGTTTATATCAACTACCCGAGATATTTTTCACGGAATTGCATTTTATGACATTTTCACAGATATGTTTAAAGAAAGGGAGTTTATAAGTTTATGTTAACATTTATAAATACACTAACTAGCAAAACAGAAAGCTTATCAGACAACAAACTATTTTCTTAAAAGCGTTTGCCCCAATAAATTATCACATGATATAAAATTATACGCCTAACAATTTTTTACCCAATCACAAATAAGTATTTTTTTAATATTAATAATACTTCATAAAGATATACACAGTAAACAACATGTCTACCCTTTTTAGTTAATTTACAATCTCTTGGAGACACTCAAAGAGATTAACGTATCATACTCATAATTGACCAAAAATTGTCTTTTTAAACATAGAACCAAATATTGAACAACTGAAATCAAATTTCTTATTTTGTATAAAGACCACCTATTAATTATATTTATATATAAATTTTTATCACATACGTGTATATATATATATATATATATAAATATATAAAGTGATTCTTTTTACATTACCCACTTATTTTTCTTAAAATGATAATTTTAGTAAATTTTTTGTTTTGTTATTGTTAGTTATATATGTGTCTTCATTTATTTTCATTCATATATCTTAGAGGTGTTAATTTTATTTTTTTTAAAAGGCAACAACATATTAAATTATCTTATAAATAAAAAATGATTTAATTAAAAAAATAATTGAACAATAGCAGTTTTTGGACCATTATTTCTGAAATTATAAACATTTTTATATCTAGGAGGAATGTTTTAAAATGTGTAATGATTTAAATAGTCATATCAGCACCTCTCCCAGTCTACATTTCAAAAATCATCACAACTTCCAAAATACTGGTCACAAGTTGTTAACAATTAATTTTTTACTTTAATATATATGATGCTATCACTAATAAATATGAATTTTGATTAATGAAAACTTTACAATAATTGTAGCTTACAAGGTTATTTACTAAAGCCATTTAAAAATTATATTTGCTCATGATGAAGACATCATAGCATCCCAAATATTAACTTTTAACACTAATAATGATAATAATTATCAAACCATTTTATTGTCCGTGACATAGGCCCGTCTAATAAATATTTAAATTTATCAGATCAATACTTTGTAACTGATTAATTTACCTCATAATGTTACGAGCTAAAGTAATTACATTTTCCCTTATAGCTCGCCTTTGAAAGAGGATAATTTTATCAAAATATTATAAATAAATTGCATTTACCTGAATTCTGGATTCATAACATGTTGATAAAGTTGAAACAATGAACATGCCACAGTAATATCTGCAAGTGAAATTCTTTCACCAACCAAGTAAGTTTTTGTGAGTAAGTACTTATCCAAGTATGTAAGGATACCTTTAACGTCTTCTATGGCCCTTTCAACTGTCTAAATTAATATATTTTAAACATGAATTCATCAAAAATAATTTTCAAAATGTTTTCATGAGTTTACCACTTTGTTAAATTGAGCAACACTAAGAGATGGATATACCCAAGAATGAGAAGCTGGAGTTATTTCATTATCAGCATAGCTAATCCATTGCTGAACAAGAGCTTTTTCATAAGGAGTTGAACCTTTGAACAGTTCACTAGATACTAATTGAAAAATAATCAATTAATAATAAAAAAATATTTAAAGTATTTCCATGAATTTAACATAAATATACTTATGTGACTTTTTGTAATACAATTTGAACAGAAAGAATATTTTCTACATCCATCAAATATAAAAAGAATGAAAAGTATGATAAATAATTTGTTAAATCACAGCCGCAGCACTATATTAGTATTCTGCTAGCAATTTACTTTTAAGTTGTTAATACAATGATTAAAACCTGATTTTCCAACAATTACCGAGAGGAAGTCAACAAAGAAAAAAAAGGTACCTAAATAAACTACCTACCTGAAAATAAATTTAGTACAGTGGTTAATACTAGAAGAAATTTTTAGATAATTAACTTATACTTTCAAATAGATAAAAATGAATAAATGTATTCATAGAAATAATTATTATCACAAAAATCATCAATTTTCACCTATTCTATTCTAAATTGTAATATTTCAATGTTTAATTAAATTTTAATGAAAATCCATAATACCAGAGGAGAATTGCTCTATTGGCTGCAGTCTAGAAAATGATTAACATAATTTGGTTTGAAAATTTTATTTTAAACTTATTTTTTGAATACTTTTTTTTAGAATGACACATTTGGAGCAAACATTGCTGCCAAAAATTATGTACCCCAATATTGGCTCTACACTACTGTGTATAACAATTTTATCAAAATTTCAGGTTCCTTAATAAAATTTTGATTAAAAGTATATTTCCAGATTTGTGACATTTGACCCCACTAATACACTTTTGAACATCAAAAAATTAATCGCACACAAATTAAAAACCTAACATTTCATATAGAAAATTTGTGAAACTTACCAAAATAAGCAATGGCATTGCTCTCTGTTAGATACTCTTTTTTACTAGATTCAAAAGCAGGAACCTGTAAACATTTAAGATGTAAAGCTGAATAATGAGACCATTGATGTTAATAAAATTTCATAATAACAGCTCACTTTTCCCAAAGGGAACTTCTTCAAAAAATCATTTTGTTTGTTAGTGACGCCAAATTCAAATGAAGAATCTACCTTCAAATCTGCACCACTGTATTGAGCTGCAATCAGTGCCTTATAAGCTCGGAAATTGTTTTGATACGTGTATAGAGTCTAGAATTATATAATAATTAATATTATATTATAGGGATTAAGAAGATAAAGTCGGATATGGATATGACACTTACACCTGAAGCCATTTCTCTAGTGTCTTATGTTCTGTATGTGTGCTCACTTTAAAGCCGGGCAGATAAAGAAAGTATCACAAACTGTTGCTAAACAACTAGCAGAATGGAGAAACGTGGCTGTCAGTGCAGCGCATAGACCAAAATTATCGTAGTTGGGAATTGACAATTGGCATCGTGGTGAAAATAAAGAGGTCGAGGCAACATTACTAAAAACACTTCTGGTCTCCTAACCAACTTATATCATTTTATAGGTAGCAGCACAAATACTACTTGTAGATAACAACAAGTAAAATATGTAGTAATCTAATCCTTATAACCATTTATAATCAGCTGTTTTTATATCTTATCATGATCGATATTTGTAACCAGAAAAATTTAGATATTCTAAGTATACTGATTTCTTGAGAGATTTTCCAAAGGGCTCTTTGTCAATAATTAATCATAAAAGTCAAGCATATAGTTTATTGATACAAGTAGTATTAAGTATTATTAATACACTTCTAATTTTCAAAATTGTAAAATGGTATTCATTAATTAATTTAATACTATATATTTCATGTATATATAATTGTTTTTTGAAATTGTGTTTTTCTGTCTTCAGGGCAATGAAAATTCGTTACCGATGGAACTTTGCTCAAATTGTAGGTGTAAAACTATAAAATATTATTTTTATAATTTGTAATATTTTTTTGCAATTACAGTTGATGCTGATGAAATCAGACGACTTGGAAAACGATTTCGCAAACTTGACCTTGATAATTCAGGTGCCTTAAGCCTTGATGAATTTTTGTCTTTACCAGAACTACAACAAAATCCATTAGTTCAAAGAGTTATAGATATATTTGATGAAGATGGCAATGGAGAAGTAGATTTTAAAGGTAAACATAGTTTTAATAATGTAATCTCATGTCACATCTATTAAAACGATTGAATGATTTTTATAGAATTTATTCAAGGTGTATCACAATTTAGTGTCAAGGGCGATAAGGAATCTAAATTACGTTTTGCATTTCGAATTTATGACATGGATAATGATGGATATATATCAAATGGTGAATTATTTCAAGTAAGTCGAAGGAAAGATAATATTTTATCCTAAATATTAATTTAATTGAGTATCTAAGTACTATATTAAAAAAATTAAATTAACAATACTTGAAAAATAGAACTAGGGATTATTTTATCATCAAAAAACCTTCACCCTAGTTAAATCAAATTTAGTTATTGTAATTTTTTTATTTGTTCACAGCCTTTTAGACCACACATCAAAACATAACTATCTCCATCCATCATTATTTTTTATGCCATTATATGCCAATCTTCATCTGGATAAAAATGTGCTACATCCCTCGTAATACAGCCTTCCCATCACATTTGGGGTCTTCTCAAAGGTCTTTTCTTTCTTGGATTTTCTTGTATCACTGTCTTAATTATGGCTTCAGATTTCCACCACGCATGGCTTGCTCATTCCAGCCTATTCCTTATCATCTTATTTACTATATCTGATCTGTTGTATTAGTCATATAGTTCCCCATTGTGTCTTTTACACCTTTCCACCATTTGTGGGTCATGGCAGAGTCCATTTATTCTTCTTATTATTTTCTTTTCAAAAATCTTCATTCTTAACTCATAATTATTCCTAACAGTTCAGCATTACCTCCATACATATACATCTTATTAGCGAAATGTATAGCTGGACTTTTAGTTTATTTGAGAGGTTACCTGATTTAAATAAGTTGTCCAAGGCGTAATAACACTTTTTGCTCATTTAAAATATTTTTAGTATTTTAAACCCTATATTCTTTGATAGGGTGATCATAATACTCAGATATTTGAATTCTGTTTTTATTTTAAAAATGTAGGACCCTACCTTTAAGAACTCTTCTGTTTGTCTTCTATCCCGTTCAATGTAAAAATTATTAAAAAAAAAGAACAACAAAATATTAATTGTCTCAAAAGTTATAAGAATTTCCAGTTTGGCCTAGTAAAATGTATTTCTCATAATATATTCATTATAATTGTGAGCATATTATATATATCAAATATAAACTATAATGTAATAGATATTATATCACATAATATGATTAAATTTTTTTTCAAATTGGGTTTTAAGTTTTTAATAGTTTTTTAAATATCAATATTGGTTGTTTATGTCTTTAGTTTCATTAAAAAGCCTTTTAGGTGTTTATTGGTTAGGGTGTAATCTGGTTCAAGGCCCTACCACGGACAGAATAAGTAATCATAAAACAATATTTAATTTTAGGTTTTAAAAATGATGGTTGGTAACAATTTAAAAGACACTCAATTACAACAAATAGTTGACAAGACTATATTATTTGCTGATAAAGATGAAGATGGAAAAATTAATTTTGAAGAGTTTTGTTCAGTTGTTGGTAATACTGATATACACAAAAAAATGGTTGTTGATGTTTAAGTTGTGAGTTATCATCAGCATTTAAACATTTTATTTAATTCTTATATTAAGTAATATTTTTCATACACTTATTGTCACTCTTAATTTCTACAGTTATTATTTTCAAACTTCTTAATTACACTTTTACGTAGGTTATTTTTATAAATATTTATAAACTTTTCTGTTATATAACATTAGTTTATCTTCCAATTTATATTTCTTGTATATACTATATACCTAGATTTTCTAATAATTAAATTATATTAGAATAAATATTAATATATAGTTATCCTACACTATATGTTATAATAATAATGTAAACAAATATAATACTCATAAGTGTTCATTAATTAATTTTTACTACTTGTATTTTTCAACTAAATAGTTAAGAAGTTTTTAGTTAATAACCTACTAAGTTACTAATAGAAAATTTACAGTAAAATCTAATGTTTGTTTATTGTTACTTATAAATAGAGCCCTGTTTTGTATGCATTTAAATATTTTTTAAAGAATTTCAAAACTTGTAGAAATTTATTTTAAGTGATTCATAAAATGTGAGTATTTTAGATCAATTGCAAGCTATAAGTAAAAAAATAATTTCGTTATTTTTTAAAAAATTTGAAAAAATTCTAGATAAAAATGTAAAACCATTAAATAGATTATATTTACAACTACTCATGAAAATATATAATTCATTCCCTCTTCCTCTTCCTAAGGCAATTAGCTGGTTTTTAATGTCAGATTTTTTGTTCTAGAATGGAAAAACTACCAATTTTTATATCAGAATCTATAATGTAAATTAATTAATTTTAGTTAATTGCATACAAAAGTATGACTAACATTAATTTGTTTTGAATAGCCCAAATGAAATATAAAATTGCATATAAATTAGGTCTCTAGTTATAAATTTTATTAAAAAAATGTTGTGTGTTTGTATTGTAATAATATTATATTATATGAGACTAAACTTAGAAGTTTTCATTTTTTTTTTTAAGGATTATTAACATATATCTCATTCAATTGAAATCAATCAAGCATTTTTACATGGCTATTATTAATATTTTGCATCTTCAATATTCATATAAATTGTACAAAATAACACTTTATAATATGAAATTATTTGCTTTTAAATCATTTGTCAATCATAATATAATTTTTATTGAGCTATCAAAATTATTTCATGTTTTTCATTGGTCTTATTCACAAAAATTATATTGTTGGGTACCCAATAATATTTACCTAAACAATTATTTTTTACTCTAGTCAAATAATAATTTTTACTAGATAACTTTGTACAGAAATTATTACTATCTGAATTATTTTCTAATTTAGTATTGTTTACTTTTTAACAATTTTTCATTAAAAAACTATTTTAAATATAATTAATCAAAAAAAAGTTGCAAATATGTTTTTATTTTAAATATTATATTTATTAATGTTGCACTAGTTCTTTTCATACAATATGTATATTTATCATTTATTTTAATTGTATTTTATAAACTTTTCAAACCTAACTTGTTATAGCTTATATCTTTAATTAAATTTTTGAAAAATACTTGATGTATTTTTAAAATCAAAATTGTAAATTATGTATTATTTAAAATTTATCTATAAATCATAAAAATCAAAATGATTTTCAACCTTGAAATTTTCTAAAATCGTTAAGATTGGAACCTTTGGTATTGAATTTATTTAGCTAATTATAATTTAAGTGAATAATTTTAACAGTATTTTTTTAATAACATCATCAAATAGTAAATTATGCATGTAGTAATTACAACATAATAGTTACACATAATTGTTAAGTTCCAATTTATAAATTAATATAAATAATTATATAAAAAAATACCTAGCTTCACATCAAAGCTAAAAGATTATCTTACAGTAGAATTAAGTTAAATTTCAATTTATTTTCATTATAGCAAAAAAAATCAAATTTAATAAATTCATTACAAAAAGGTAACATACAATTAAAAGTACTAAAATAGGTATGAAATAATAATGGAAAACGAGAGTTAAATTTAGTGATTTTGAAATTAATTTGCTCCAAGAGCTCGAAAAATTGTTTTTTGTTTATTTACATACATAATGATTTTATAATTCAAATCACTTGATTACTACGATTATGATTTTAAAATGTAGACAGGTGGAGAAGTGCTGGTATGACTATAACATTAGATATTTCATAACCTCCCTACGAGGTATAAAAATGTTTTGTAACTTCTGAAATATTGATCCAAAAATTGTTTTGTCCAGTTATCTACTGAATAAATTCATTTTTTAAGCTAATTAAATATATATGTTATCTCCTAAAATAATAAAGTGAACACCAATATAAGGTATAATGAATGATACTAAAAAGTAATTTATAACAGATATGTAAAAAAAACATAAGTAACAAACATTTTATTCAAAAATAAAAAAATAATTTTATTAAAAATATATAATTTTATGATATAATAGTTTAACTTTTATATCATAAAATAATATGATAGTTTAAACTGTCAACAACTGAAGAAACTATTTTTATATAGTCAGACAAGTTAAGGAGTTTTAAAATTTTTTTTTTACATAAAAGTTGCATTAAATTTATGTAACAAAACTTATCTAATATCATTAAATTTTCATCAATAAATACATTTTTAAATTCATAACAATCTTGTTCTAAAATTTTTAATTGGTCAAGCACAATTTCTTTAAAAATGTTTACATTGTTAAATATGATTAATTGTTTAAGACCTTCAAATGCAAGTGTTGTAATGTTAGATTGCTCTTTATAAAAATTAGATTGCTCATTGAAGAATGGATTGATAGTACTATTACAAATAGTTCGTCTTTCTATAACAGACATAATATTCCAAAAACATAAAAAAGCAGATTCTGGACACATGATCAAATTAACTGTAGAAATTTGAAACATTTTTGTTAGGCAAAAGTAAGGGTTTAATGTAGAAGATAGGTTGTAACACAAACGGTTAACAAATCTTGTTGCCTCAATCCGGATATCAGGATTCTCATCTTGTAGAAGCACTACAATTGTTTTCCATAGTCTAACATCATTTTTCAAGTTGATAAAGTAATACAAAGATCTAGCACAGCTGAAACGATCAGATGAATCAAAAAAATCACAATTTATGTACTTGCAAACAGATGTTAACAATGATTGACATTTTTCTTCTGGGCACAAACAACTTAATACAGGGAGCATTGAAATAAAATCTTTTTCTGAATAAGATGAGCACTTTTCAAATATTTTATTAAAATATTTTTTGTCAACGTTAATTTTATAAATATTTTTAATATTATTTTTCAATAGGTTGTCAATATTTAATATGATTAATCTAAAAATATTATTATTTTTTGTATTCAAATACTTTATTAGCTTATTTACAATAGATTCTTCATACTTAGAATGAATTTTTAGAAAACTCTTAAGGAATTTTACACTTATGTATTCATCAAATAGTAAATACTTCTCTATAATTTTACAATTGTCATTGGATTGAGCAATATCATTTTCAATCATTAAATTTATAACTTGACCATAACCAATTTCTGATTTGTGAGGAAATGGACCTGTTATGTCTGGGTTCATAGAAATATAAATAGCCTTGCATAAAGGTTGCATATCATTATACGAAGAAATAGCTACTACTTCATACTTTATTCTAAATTCAAGTGAATAAACATTTTTCAAATACTGATACAAAGAAATATAACCATGAATGTGATTTGAATCTTTTAATATTGATGAATTATTTATATTATAAAAATGATCAATTTTACTGCCAACCATATCCAAGGCAGATAATAACTTATTTTTTTGTAAAGTGGTTGTGTAAGCTTGAGCTGCCATATTTCTGACTGTATAAATGTCTAATGTTAAACCAATTTTAGTTAAATTATGTCTAAGGTTTAAGATAAAATTTTTATGTGCCGTAGATAACAATGACCATGATTGTAACTTCACCCCTTTTAGTAAAGACATGTAAGGAATAAGTAAACTTTGGCTAGATAGAGAGTTATTAGTAATTTGTGTCCACAGTTGTTGTAAATGATGCATTATTTTTGGAAATTGATATAGCAATGGTTCTAAAGGTAAGTGTGACAACCATAAAGTGTTGTTTAATCGATTTTGTCCAATCAATTTAATTTGTAGAGAACTAAAGAACTGTAGAGCAGCATTCCTACAAAAAAATTAATAGATTAAATATTAATTAAACAAATAGGATCATAAGCCAAAGAGAAATCAATATACTTTAATAAAAATTTAAGCTTTATAAATTTATCTAGATTTATAAATCTAATTTAAATAAAGCCTAACTTCATTTAAAAGGTACAATATTATTTTCAAAAAATATTTCATAATCACAATAATTTCAAACATTAACACTTTTTTGAGTGAACAGTACAAGTTGAAAACATAGAAGCATATTCAATGAATATACAAGATTTTATTGGAATTCCTAATACTAAGGATGGCTTGAAATCAGATTTTCTCAAACTTTAAGTTTAAACAATAAAAACAATTTATTTTGTTTAAGTAGGCTTATTTATTTTTCTTTTTTACTAATTTTTTTTTATGTATGGCAAATTAAAACATTACCTATAATTTAAAAATTGTGAGAAAAAAATTAAACCATTTGTAAATATTTTTATTTATTGTTTAATTAATTAAATACTACTTAAAACTAATATTCAAGTATAAAAAATAACATCTGGTATATGGCTAATCTTGATTATCAAGAGATGAGGTGGTATGTTTTGTAATTTTTCTGACAAAATACTGGCTGAATTGCATAAAAAATTATTTCGCCAGATCCTGTAATTATACATTATGTAACATATTTTGGGGGTGTATGAAGCCTAAAATATATACAAATACACCTAACAATATTCTACAATTAGAAGATGAGATTGAAAAAATCACAATTGGTATGTAGTCGTATATGTAAGAGTCAACACTTTAATGACTGTTTATTTTAATGCTGTGCGCCACATAATATGGCCATATTCCAGATATTAATTTTAAAATGGTAGACGATTCTAAATTAAATTAAAATTTAATTTTTGGAAAAAAAAAAGTAAGTTTTTTTAATTTGGCTTGATTTGTTACAGTATATCCTATACATAAATAATATGAAACTGAAAATTATTTAGTATTAAATAAATATGTAATTACCTAATTGTCCAAAATGGTGACCCAAGTTTATCAATACATAAAAATACTAATTCTTCAATAAAAGGACTTAAATACTCTAGGGTAATTGATGAGTTTGAAACAATAGCGGTAAGTAAATGGAGTGCTTTAGCTTGTGGTAAATCAACTACACTGTGTACATACAAATCTGATAAAATATTCTCTTTGGCAATATTAAATAATTGATTTACGCAATATTTTATCATTTCCTAAAAAGCCAAAGAATTTTATTACCATTTATTTACTCAACTAAATCTTGTTTAAGAACTAACTAAATAACATAATATCATGACAGTAATTAAAATGACTATCATAAAAATGCTTTGAAGCAAATCTGCAGATATTTTCCAAAAGCAACATAAATTCTTATTTCAATATTAACAAGTTTGATGGTTTATAAGTAAAATTAATTAATAAATACATACTATATAAAATAATATTTAGTATAAAAATGTTATTATATATATTGTATTGTAATTTTAACAAGCTAATAAAATAAAAAAATTACTAGTCAATAACATTTTCAAATAATACTTCAAAATGATAAAAATAACATAATACACCTCACCTTAACTCTGTAGTTTAAATATTTATAACTTTCGAAATGATAGATTAAAAGATATTATCTGCCAGTCATTTTCTTAATAAGATCATTTTTTATTTTGTAAGCTAGTTAAATATACATGTAAACAAAAATAGTATGTATTTCAACTACAGCAGCAATTTGCACATAAAAAATAAGTCATTGGGGCAACATAAGTTTTATTTTAATATATGATTAAAACTCGAGTATTTCTGGAACATTTTCAAAACTTAAGTTGAAAAAATTAATTTTTTACGTAAAATCAATTTTGAATCCCCCTCTGTAGTCATCAGGTAAAAGAACAGATTTTTAAAAAAATTATTAGTGGGAAGAATGAGGTTGAAGAAAGAACAATCTTGAATAGACTGATGATAATGGATTTGTGGTGTAGTGAGAAAAGAGAATACAAAAACAGAAAGAACACAGGAGGAGAATCGAAGATTGATAGTGGAAAAAGAAAAACCATTTTTAAAGACAGTAAAAGAGAGGAAGGTGTGGAATGAGGCTGAAATATAGTTCTATAAGACTGTAGTTAGACCAGCTGTGATGTATGGTTCAGAGTGTTGGGTGGTTGACAAGAGAATAGAACAGAGAATGAATGTAGAGATAAGATGGATGAGTATAGTGACTAGAGAAAATAGGATAAGAAACAAACATATATAAGGAGTATAGGTGTCGCGTCAATCTTGATTAAGATAAGAAAAAATAGACTTAAATAGTTTGGTCATGTTATGAGGAGAGAGAAATCGGAAGCTGTAAGAACAGTTATGGAAGTAAACATTGAGGGAAGAAGAGGTAGAGGAGTACAAAAAAAGAGATGGAGAGATGTTATTTACATGTCACATAATTTAATGTGATATGAGGATGGCTGATGTGTGTGTAGATGATGTAGGAGATCATGTCAAGTAAAATTTTAGATAAAGATTGATGACCGCAAGTAGTTGGAATAAAGGCAAAGAAAAAGAAGAAGATTTGTATATAAAAGATATATGCACACATAAGAATACATTTTTTTAACTTTGAGATTAGAGAGAACTTTATTATGTATAAATACCTTGTTATTAACTACTATTGCTTGAATAAGGTATCGTTTTCCAGCTGATCTTCTTGAAATTTCATTATCAGGCTTCATATTATTTAACTCATTGTTCAATATATGTTTACACCAATTTGAAGATTCTTTCCAATTTTTAATTAATTTCCCTAATGATCTACAAGTTGCTTCCATAACTCCTTTATGTCTGCATCTTAGTAAAACATCAACTATTATGTTAGCACATCTCAAGATAACATTATCTTTCTTATTACTTTTATAAATATCATTATAAAATAGTGAAACTGTATAGTCACTTGCTACTTCACAGCAAATCTAAATAAAAGTTTTTTATTTAGATTAATAAAAATTGTTAGTAAATTAACTCATTTTTATAACAAAATACTTTTATATTTATCCATAGGAAATTTAAAAGAAATGTGTTGGTGGGTGTTTGAACATTTTCCTTCGATGTTTGACAAAGACTACTTAATGCAATATCCATTTGAGCAAATGAAGGAGCACCAGTTTTTTCTAAAAAAAAATGAAAATAGTTTATCAAAAACATAAAATATTATAAATACAAGTATATTACTTAATTTTGTAGATTACTCTAAGTTTTACCTTATTAAAATTAATTGATTATTTAACATATTTGCATTCAATTATACTAGAGAGATTTATTATATTGTTTTTAATTTAATTAAATTGCTTAATGTTAACAAACAATCCTAATAAACAGTAGAGCAGTGAAACAGGAAAATTTAAATTCACAATTCTAATGGGTTCCCTTGGTTGGGTTCCTATGTCTCCATAAATGATGAGCAAAATAGGAGATACATCTATACGTTGAAAAAGCAGGACCTTAAGAAGCCATTTCTTTGTATAAAAAAAATGATATAATGAATGCTTGTATAGAATAGCCAAATATTAAAAATACTACAGTTAAACTACAGCTTAGTTACATAATATGGTTTTGCAGCAAATTTTTATTTTTAACGATTACTAAATAGTAGGTATATAGAACACAACTGTAAAATTATGGACTCCAATATTAAATACGGCGTATTTTATACATATTTTAAAATCTTCTGTTTTATAGCTCCATATTGTATATTTCAAACATTTACATACCTTCACCCTCAACTTTTGAAGCTAAAGTATCCAACATAAGTTTTAAACTACATTCAATTAAATTTAATAGTAATTCAATTTCATTTTCATTTAACTTTTCCATTAAAAGTGATTTTTCTCCAAAAGATAGTTGTTTTATTGCAGAAAGTAATCCATAAAGTGTTCCTTTGGTAACATTGTCAACAAAATTTGTCTTCAATTTATTCTCTTGTTCCTTAGCTAATTTCAATAAATATGCAGAAACATTACGATGGTTGATTTCAAATATGCTTGTCTTTAACCCAGATTTATAAACAAGACTAGTTATTGTGTAGATTAAACTTGAACCACTTTCATTTTTATAAAACAATGGGTCATAACATAACTTTAAACCAAGTTTCATCCAATTTTTTGCAAAATCTTTTTCTTCTAGAGTAATTGAAAAATATGATATCAATAAGTTACTGCTTATTTTTCTAATATCATCAGACTGTAACAAATTTTCAAGTAGCAGTTTTCTACAATCATGTGAGACATAATCTTCAATTTTATTATATTTAAGATAAATTGAATACAATTTTAATGATGTTATTTTTCTTTGGTAATTTGAATCAGATTTTAAATTTTTTATGATAAAATCATGTAAATGATTAATAAAAGGTGTTGTAAGATAACAGCTTTTCTTATTTATACGCAATATATTCTCGAATCCTGTAACTAGTTTTATTCGTAGAGCAATACAATCACTGTTTATATTGTAAGTAATAAATTGGTAAAGTAAATCTATTACTTTAGGTGAAATCTTTAAATTAAATAAAACTGCACAAGCTTCTGATCTCACATTATTATTACCAGAATTTAAGGATGCTATTAAAGTGTCATTATATTCATCACGCATCAAACCATTTTCAGATTGAATAATTTTAATAATAGCTATTTGTACATATAAATCTGGCTCGTTACTCTCTTTTAATATCTTATACATCAATTTCAAACTCTTTGTGTGCTTAAATTTTAGTTCAGGTAATAAATAAGTCACAAAATTGAACTTTGTTAATCTAAAACATACAAAAAAAAAAAAATTTAGATGTTCTAAAACTGAAAATTAATTATCTCATATTTATATGTATGTACAAAAATAATTTCCATAACACAGGACAATAACCATTTTCTTATTTACAATATTTATATAAATTCTATAAGTAATTTTAATGCTGATTTCAAATATGGCTTCTGATTTTTTTATGCCAACTAGTTAGTGAGATAATAACTATACTATTTTTACTTAATTAAACTATAGTTACACAGTAAAATCATTATAATTTTTTATGATTAATAAACAAATAAAAAATGAGTATCATTTTTTAAACATTTTTTTTTAAACTTTCATAAAATAATTTTATAATGTATAATAAAAGTTTTGCAAAATTTGGAACTGTTCCATCACTTTAGAAATGTAACAGTCTCAATAGAGTAAACAAGGTTAATAAACCTCAGTTTTGGTAGTTCATGGTATATTAAAAGAGTAAAAAAAATATTAATTACATACTAACTGTGAACAGTCACCAGAATTTTTTTATATTAAATAAACCAACATAATAATAACCAATATATAATAAATAACTCCATTACTATGTAATTTAAGATTTAATAGAAAAAAAGACCATTTAATCAAAAACTTAAGCTATGCGAAAATTTTTGATGGTGAAGTTATCACATTCACTTACCACCCTTAACATAAATTATGTTAAGTGTCTTTACATTTCTTTGAATTATTTTAAAAAAGGAGAATAAATGTTAGATAAATAAGGGAATTATTCTTCAACCTATTAAGCAATATTTTAACGGTTTATAACTTCGTGTCTAAAAGCAATAGCGAGTTAAAATTAATACTTATTTAGCTTAAAGATTAATATAATTAACCTAAACAAATGTATATTTATATATTAAAAAAATGTTTAGGAAGTTGATAATGTATTGGAATTATAATGATCAATTAAATAAATATGAGAATTATATATTCAGAAATAATATTTAGTAGAAAGCCTAACTTTTTATGATAAATTGTATTTTAATCACACTTATTGACAATGAAATAATAATAATTAAATTATGATGCAACATGTTTACACTGGATAAGTTTAATAATTTTGTTTTTACTTATGAGATTTTATAAAAAAATCTCACCTGCTCAAGCAATATCATTCAAAATTTTGACATAAATCCTTTAATAATATATATATATATATAGGGTGGCTCAAAAAAAATCGATCTTCGAAATGTTTATGAGATACCTCATAAATGTATTATATACATTAAAATAAACATTTTATGAAAATTTGAGATTAAAAAAAAAATTTTTACAGGTCGCTCAACGCGTTTTAAGAAAATTGACCAAAAATACTCAAAAAAACATAAAATGTCATTATTTATTTAATTTTTGTTCAAATTTCTTACTTAGTACATCTAAATTGTTCGTTTTTTAATGCCGAATAATAATAATTAGAAAAAAAAATTGTAAGTCCAAAATTGATTGCGTAAAGTCCATAAAAAGCTCAAAAATATGGTTAAGTTCAACGAACACTTAAGTAAACCAAAAAATTTTTTTTTTTCATTTTTTTTTTTTAATTTGATTAATATTTGTGTGTATTTTAAGAGGAAAAAATTTTTTCCACTAATGTTTAAAACTACTACCTTTTTTTTTAGATTAGAACGTACGCTAGAATATACGATGTACATAAAAATAAATGAAAATATCGTCAAATTTTACTGTTTCCTTTTTACATTTTTTTATTTTAAAATTTGAATAGAAAAATTATAAATAATGAAATAATAAAATAATTCAAACCAAACACCGCTTTAATGGTTCACTGGGACGGAAAAATTTTGCCGTCCTACAACAAAAAAAATTACACTGAACGTTTAGCGGTATTAGTATCTGGTGATGGCAAAACTAAACTTTTGGGAGTGCCTAAACTTTTAAATTCTACAGGCAAATCGCAAGCTGATGCCGTTATTAAGCTTTTGGTTGAATGGAATTTAGTTAATCAAACAAATATGATATATTTTGACACTACTGCCTCCAACACTGGAAAACTAAATAGTGCATGTATTTTAATTGAAAAAAAATTATTTTATTATTTCATTATTTATAATTTTTCTATTAAAATTACGAGCTCTTTGATTTCAATCTTTACTTATCGAATAATCATTAATATTTTTATCACACTAAGTTAAAACAGACGCCAAAATATACGTGGCTTTTCGGCTAGATAAGTTTATTCTGTCTAGGATGAGTACCCCGATTGTAAAAAATCAACATTGGAAAAAAAAAAAAAAATTATTTTTATTTTTACAATTATAAATATATATGTATGTATATATAGCTAATGCCAAATTTTAAAATAAAAAAATGTAAAACAGAAACAGTAAAATTTGACGATATTTTCATTTATTTTTATGTACATCGTATCTTCTAGCGTACATTCTAATCTAAAAAAAAAGGTAGTAGTTTTAAAAATTAGTGGAAAAAATTTTTTCCTCTTAAAATACACACAAATATTAATCAAATTAAAAAAAAAAATTTTTTGGTTTACTTAAGTGTTCGTTGAACTTAACCATATTTTTGAGCTTTTTATGGACTTTACGCAATCAATTTTAGACTTACAATTTTTTTTCTAATTATTATTATTCGGCATTAAAAAACGAACAATTTAGATGTACTAAGTAAGAAATTTGAACAAAAATTAAATAAATAATGACATTTTATGTTTTTTTGAGTATTTTTGGTCAATTTTCTTAAAACGCGTTGAGCGACCTGTAAAAATTTTTTTTTTAATCTCAAATTTTCATAAAATGTTTATTTTAATGTATATAATACATTTATGAGGTATCTCATAAACATTTCGAAGATCGATTTTTTTTGAGCCACCCTAT